ATGGAATTTCAAGTGCTGATCTAAATAGTTATGGAGTCAGAGTCAGACAGCACGGAAACAGACCCTTCGGTCCAACTAGTCCATGCCGAACTTAATTCCAAATTAAACTAGTCCCACCTGCCTGCTCTTGGCCCATATCCCTCCAAACCTTTCCTATTCATGTAAAATGTCTTTTAAATATTGTAACTGTACCCATATCCATCACTTCCTCATGAAGTTCATTCCACAGGCAAACCATCCTCTATGTAAAAAAATTGCCTGTTATGTCTTTTTTAAATCTTTCTCCTCTTACCATAAACATGTGCCCCCTTGTCTTGAAATTCCTCATCCTGGGGAAAAGACAACTACCATTAACTTTATATATACCTCATTATTTTATAAACTTCTATCAGATCACCTCTTAACCTCCTACGCTTTAGTGAAAGAAGTCCCAGCCTATCCAGCATTTCTTTATAACTCAAACCTTCCATACCCAGCGACATCCTGGTAAATCTCTTCTGAACCCTCTCCAGCTGGATAATATCCTTCCTTTCACTGGGTGACCAGAACTGGACACAGTATTCCAGAAGAGGCCTCACCAGTGTCTTTTACAACTTCAACATGACTTCCCAACTCCTATACTCTAGGGACTGAGCAATGAAGGCAAGTGTGCCAAACGCCTTTTTAACCACCCTGTCTACATGTGATGCAAACTTCAAAGAATTATGTACTTACAGCCCGAGATCCCTCTATTCTACAACACAACCCAAGGCCCTACCGTTAATTATATAAGTTCTATCCTGGTTTGTTGTACCAAAATGCAATACCTCAGATTTATCCAGATTGAACTCCATTTGCCATATTTCAGCCACTGACCTATTTGCTCAAGATCCCTTTGTAATCTTAGAAAACCTTCTTCACTGTCTACTATGTCACCATGAAGGTGCCTGTGTCTTTGACCCTTTTAGGCAGTGAATCCGATCACACAACTCTCTGGGTGGAAGAAGAATCCTCAAACCCTTCTAAATCCCTTGCTCATTATCTTAAAACTATGCCCCTTGGTATTTGACACCTCTAAAGGGGAAAGGTTTCTCCCTATCTACCCTGTCTATGCCCCTCAGAGCTTTGTACACTTCAATCAGATCTCCCCTCAGTCTTCTCTACTAAGGAAAACAACTCCAGCCTAGCTAGTCTCTCTTCATGGCAGAATTGCACCAGCCCAGGAACATCCTGATTAATCCCTTCTGCACACTCTAGTGCAATCGCATCCTTCCTAATGTGTGACAACTAGAACTGCACAGCATTCCAGCTGTGGCCTAACTACCATTACGATGGAGCTACATATAACCTCCTTGCTTTTGTATTCAACACCTTGACTAATAAAGGCAAGTGTCCCAACCACCTTATGTACACACTGGCTGTCCTCCAGCTTTGGCATCTTTGGCACCCCTCCGTTGGACGGAGAGGATTTGAAAATTTATGTCAGAGTCCCTGAAATCTCCTCCCTTGTCTCCCATGCCTGCCTTAGGTATATCTCATCTGGTTCTGGGGATTTATCCACTTTAAAGCTGCTAAAATCAAACTACCTCCTCCCTCCCAATAATAATTTGTTTCCCATCCTTCATTTATTGACCAATGTCATCCTTCTCTATTGTGAATAGATATACAAATACAAAGGTCAGATATTTTTATCTTTGTGTATCCCTCTGATTTGGGTTGTTTCTAGGTATTGAATTTTAGCTCCCCTCTATGGCTTTATCATGACATTGACTTGGTTTCAGAGTATCTTACCTCAGGTAAATAGCTTCTTTCCAATCTTCAAAGAAAGATCTTTAGTTATAGCGTGACATAGCTCCGTGATCTAGTATCAAATTTCAGCTTCCGATGTATATGGTTATGACCTTCCTTCTCACTCTCATCTTGATCCGAATGATTGGGAAGATTTATTTTCCATAGGCACTTTGGCCCACTAATTCATGCAGCTCTATGATTCCTATGCCTGTTGTGTTGTTGCTATCTACTAGAGTATGCTAAGTCTCCTTATTCACCCCATTGCTCTGTCTCATGATACTTTCAAATACCATTTCCTTTGTTTGTTTTGATCATCTTTTTCCATGGATTGGGCTTTCCACAAGGTCTGCAGCTTGATGCAAATGCAGGACATTTCTTTCTCACTGTTAACTCATGCAGTTATCCACAGCTGCTGCACATTTTTTTCTGTCTGGCATGCATTCTTCCGTTGCTATTTCACAACAGCAATCCTGCTGTATTTCTCTACTCTTAACTGGAAGCCAGTTGTTGGAGTAGTCAGCTTCATGTGCCTTGATGTACTCTGGCAGTGTCTATAGCTTTTGATATTGTGAATAGTTCTTGGAAATCAAATATTTTTGTATTTCAGATTTAATCAAATTCAGAAATGATTAACAACCTCACCTGCTTCCTGCCTTAGGCTTCGAAATTCATAATTAATTGCTGGATTGGATGATCTGACTTTGGCTGAAGATGGGTCCTAACCCGATCAAATATTTGTGTCTGGGTTTTTACTGTCATACTGTCTCATGTCCTTGTTATTAAATGAATTTAACCCTTTCTCTTCACCCCATTAAAATCATGTAGCTGATCCTTTGTTTCTTTACTACCACCTTTTAGAAAGCTATTTGAATGGGAGTCTGCACTTACGTTGACATTTCTCAATTGGGTCTATGACACCAACAATGTCCCAATTCATGCTGGCCTGTAGTGGCCACCATATCATGTCTGCACATTAAACAAGTTTTTTGCTGTCTTTGGCACTAATTCAGGTTGACTTTTGCTCTTCAATCTAATTCAGCTTCAGCATAAACTTAATTTATTTGAAATGTCTTTAGAATTACAATGAGAATTAGCTTTATCGTCACATGTACTCAAGCGAGTACAGTGAAAAGTTTACAAGTCATCACTTACAGCGCTATCTTTAGGTAAATCTTTAGTACAAATTCTTCAGGGAAAAAAATAGAATAATAAAGAAATATAATGTCCAGCAATACAGATCTTGGAATAAATTATAAAAATAAAGAAGTAGAAAGTTCAGAATAACAGTCCTTCCAACCCAGTCCATGCCGGCACCTAATCTCTAGTCCGCACCAGGCCCTGACTCCAGATCGTGCCAGGCTCTCAAGACCAGGAGATAGCTCTGGAGTCATCTTAAGACTGAAAGTCCATGCTGAGGCCGTGCCAGGTCAAAAGACCACCACGCTGGGCCGAGAGACCGCCACACCCGGCCACTGGGAGAATGCCATGCTGGCCTGAGAGATCTCTCACTTTTGGTGTCACTCACGGACTACCTACTACCACCATGTTATGTCTTCTAGTTCAAGAGTTTGAAATAATCACATTTTTTCAGAATCCGAGTGCTGAAGCTTTACTGAGTATATCTCTTACACATTTCCATGTGATCAGTGAACTGATATAATTGCTAGCCACCTGACTCCAGGGTAGAAGTAGACCTGGCACTCTAGAATGTATATTCACATAACAATTAGTTCCTGTGTCTTTACAAAGAATATAACATTGCATTGATTTAAAGGAAACAACAACAGCACAACGAAAGTAACACAGGGAACAAGATACACATCCTGTTGCAGAGCCTTTTCCTTAATTTGACTGTGTGTATTTTACTTTTTGCCAATGTTGGAAAACAATAAAGAGCTCTGAATGTCTTCCTAAGAACTGGGAATGGGGGCAATGACCCATGTCACACTCTTACGCTTTCACCATCAGTTCTGTGCCAAATATTTTATTTGTATCAAGGATACAAAAAGCCTACCTCTGCCCTAAAAAATATTTAGAGACTCTGCTTCCATCGCCTTTTGAGGGAGCACCAAAGATTACAGCCATCTCAGAGAAATTTTCCTCAAGTCCGTCTTAAATGAGGAACCCCCTATTTTAAACAGTGACCTCCGAGTTCTAGACTCTCCCACGAGAGGAAACATCCTTTCCACATCTACTCTGCTAAGACCCCTTGGGATCTCAAATGTTTCAATCATGTTGCTTCGCCCTCTAAACCCCAGCAGGTACAAGCCTCGCCTGTGAAATTGAGTTCTGGTAGCTACCTGATCAAACACATGAAAGGAAACGTAAAATAACGAAGGGAAACAAAATAAAAGATATATAAAAGAAAACAGCGGAATTTCTTCAAGGTTAGCATTCCTGGAAGAGAAGTGACTTCCTCCCCACTCCAATTATCTTCGTTCTTAATCCGCCACTTCATAACAAAAATCCTATACAACTCAAATCCTCTTATTTTTGCTGGCTGGCAACTAGAAAATACGACATCCACGGGTCACAATGTGTTTTCTTTTAAAAAAAGAGTTTCCTGAACATTTTACACTACACCTGCAAGGAACTGGAAGGTTCACATTCTTCCTTTTCATACATAAAGGATCATAATGACTGCAAAGTGCTCCGAGCAAAAGCAAGCTGCCCAAAGGTATCACATCCTCATTCAATCGGATGGGTTCCCACAAGTCGTTTGCTAATTTAAAGTCTTTTTTTTAAAAAAAAAGGACAATCTTCAATTTGTCCTCAAAAATAAAGGAATTTCAGCCTGTGGAATAAAGCTTCTTACACACGCACACCCACAGAGAAATCCATTCTTAAAGTAGCCACGTTGCTTTTCAGGAAATAGTCTCCTATTGCAGAAACCGGCTTCCCTTTAAACAACATTATAACATCAAAAAGAACCCGGGCATGTCCCCCAAAAGAAGCTGCTTTAGCTCGGAGAAAGTTTAAACACAGCTTCCCATTGTCACTTCAACGCTGAAGAGATCACTTAACATCACTCACTTTTTACCCCTTAAGAAGGAAATCATGGTAACATTGTAATTTATAATCCCGGTGTTACCTGTTCGCTCCAAAACACCAGCCTTGATGCTCGGTTGCTGTGGGATCGGATGGGAACAGGAACCTTATCGTTATTTACATCGGCTAGGAAGCCCCAAATAGTGGGAGCCTTTCGCTGGGCTCCTTTAAATACGTCTTACCAGTTCAATGCCGCCAGGAGGATGTTACGTCCTTTCCAGAGATATCACACCAAGAGGCCAAGGCAAACACGTATTGCAAGACACATCCGTACTGGGGGCAACTTCAGCTCAAATTCCTGCCTCCATGTGGCACCATCCACAACTTGCTCCCTTGTGTGTCCAAGTTTATTCAGAGGGTGTATTTCACCGTCAGAATTCACTTCCGCACATTCTAAACACCGCTTTACATAGTCCAGGAATCGTACCTTCCACCAGAGTTCGCTCCCATTGTAAGGCACGGTTACCGCCAGCGTTTAATCAAACTATCACATCCGCAGCGAAGACTCAATGACTAGCCATTTCTAACAAGGGATTTCCGAAAGGCTGCAATCTGGCTTCAAGGTTACTGCGGCCTCTAAAGAAGGAAATGAATAAAGGACTCTTGTGTCCGGCTGGTAATGATGAGTTTATTTTCCTTTGGCTTGTGCTGGTTTCAAATCAACGTGGATTCGGCTGAATTTTTAACCAAACCGGCGCAAAATAAGATGTGGGGAATTTTAGACGCAAGCTACGTCAAGCCGTAAAACTACGTTTCCGCTATCTTTCCTGGTATTAAAATAAGCATCACGCCAAAATAAAATCTAGCTCTAGCCACACCCACGAGTTAAATTGAAAATAGCCAGTTTTCTACCAATTGCTCTCGTTTCAGAAGGGGTCTTCAAACTGAGCTTTGCTTTGGACGTATGTTCAAATTTAAAGAAAAGTTTTTTTTTGCACGGACTCCTCTCAAACTAAACGGAAGCAAAACTCTACTCAGGTGGTTGAGCTAGCGGTTGGTTTGGGTGGATTTCTCGAACTCGCTTACACAAAGTCAGTAAGATCTGCACCATCTCAGCAACTGCCACATTCCTAACAGTTCCAGTTCTGACCAAAGATCAGAAACAGAAGTTGCTGGAAAAGCGAAGCAGGTCTGGCAGCATCTGTGGAGAGAAATCAGAGTTAGCGTTTCAGGTCCAGCGACCCTTTATCCACTTCCAAGGTTTCTCTAAGTGCTGCTTGACCGGCTGAGTATTTCCTGCTTTCCCCCTTGAAAGTTTAGATTGGCAGCATCTGCAGCATTTTGCGATTGTTCCAAAGTTGAATCCCCTGCGGCTTCTCTTCCAGAAAGGACAACCTTGAACAAAGTCTGCTCTTCTTTCAGACAGGATTTCCAATCATCTCTCTTATCTTGTTTTCCTTTATTTCTTTACACTGCCTTTCTTGTGTTTGATCAGGTAGCTGCCAACACTCAGTTTCACAGGCTAGGCTTGTACCTGCTGGAGTTTAGAGGGCGAGGGGTGACTTGATTGGAACAGCTAAGATTCCAAGGGGTCCTGACAGAATAAATGTGGGAGAGTCTAAGACTAGGAGGTCCCTGTTTAAAATAAGGGGTTACTCATTTAAGACTGAGATGAGGGGAATTTCTTTTCTCAGAGGGCTGAGAGTCTTTGGTGCTCCCTCAAAATGTGATGGAAGCAGAGTCTCTAAATATTTTTAAGGCAGACTCTGTGTATCCTTGATACAAATAAAACATTTGGCACAGGACTGATGGGCTGGAGGCATAAGGGTATGACATGAATTATTGCCCTCATTCCCAGTTCATAGGAAGATACTGAAAGCTATTCATGGTTTTCCATCTCTGCATACCGAAATGCACTTTCTTGACCTGTGACAAATACTTCCTCAATGCTGTACAGATCTGCAGTTTCATTTTATTCTGTGTCTCACTGAGCACTTTAACTGCAGAAAGCTACAGCACAGAGGGATTTGAGAGTCCTTATGCATTAAATCACAAAAAACTCACGTATAACTTCAACAGGTAGTAGGGATGGCAAATGGCATGTTGACCTTTATTCAAAGGGAATGGTGTATAAAAATTGGGAAAGCTAGTTAAAACTATACAAAGCATTGGTGAAATGACAGTCCGAACACTGAACAATTAAGAGGAGAAGTTGAGTTGGTTAGGTTTGTACTTATTGCAACTTAGAAGAATGAGAGACAACCTTATTGAAACATGCTCGATTCTGAGTGGATTTGACAGGATAGATGCAGAAACATCTTGTTCCCCTTGTGGGAGAGTCTAGGGCCAGAGGGCATCATCGCAGAATAAGGGGTTTGCCATTTTAAGTCTGATAGGATCCTGGTTGGATGCCATTGCCATACAAGGGGAACAGTGGAAGAGCTGCAAGTTAAATGGGGGATGGTTGCTGACTGGATCATCATGCCAAAGCCACACTAAAACGGTTCTGCTTCGAGGTCCCTGAAGGGAAGCAAATTATTGCATATGGGAAGGGGCACTAGCCTGCTTTCAGTACCTTGCACAATGCACACTGCCATCATGCACATTTCATGTGGCTATCATTCTGTCCAGACCAGCCATTCTGAAGCCTCACAGGATGCAGCTTCCCATAGAACACATGGTGGTGGTAGTGGGGTGGGAGGGGTGATGTAGGGAGCCAGGAGTTAATGCTGCCCATTCTTCAAACTGGGTGAGGATGCAGAAATCTGGAATCCCTTCACTTGTCAGGGCCCTCTTATTTATTATGGACCAGTTTGTCCTGCAATGAGAGAAAGAGAAGTGTTTGGTGTATTGGGAATGTGTGCATAAGCACTCAATGAGCATGTATTTGCCAGTCAGGTGGTGAGCTCCCCCAGTAAACAAGAGACAAGTTCAGTATGAAATATCTCCACAGAGGCCAGTATCCTGTCACTAAGTCACCCTTTATTTGCACATGCATAGTACTTGAAACTGCTCCAGCTTCCTAGATGCCAGCTCTAAGAGTGAACACAATCCCTGACACTCCTGTTTATATCTGTCAGCCAGGGCTCCCTGATTGGACCAGGTTAATAGCCCCAATCAGGGAATTAGTATTCTATGAGGTCCACCTGGCTGACCTCATTAGAATCATTACATCCCTCCCCCTTTAAGTCCAGTGACATAGGCCTGTTCTTTTTCAGGTAGCTTCTCCTGGGGCATTTTCCCCACTAGGTCTGGTTCCTCTGAATCAGCCTCAGATACAGTCAGTGTGTACCAGACTGTAGCCCGCCTTTTGCACCCAGAGACTCTCAGAAGAAATTCTCTTCTTCAGGCAGTAATGGCATTGAGGTTGTGACATCTGCTGTGTCCATCTCAGACTCCCAGGTTTCTTCAACGCTAGACGGAGGGGGAGAACCCACAGGTTCCAACCTTAGGCTCCTAATAACAGAAAAAGCTGGGGGTCCACAAGCTGTCAGGACAATTACTCTTTGCTTTTTATCTGTACCAACATCATTCACCTGGAAAAAAAAAATGCATTCTTTCCACATACTGGGCCTAGTCTTCAACAGCAGGATTGAATGAGTCAAGCTTCCCAAATAATGGCATGATGACAGAAATCTTACCCCAAATCAAAGATGACTGTTGTGAGAGAATTTCTTCAGGGGTGTATTTTTTTTTTTTCCTCTCATCACCACTGAAATAACTCCACAGAGGCTGGTCTGGCTTTATCAGAGCCAACTCTCAGAATGAGTAGAACCTCTGATGCTAGTGTTTATACCTGTCAGCCAGAGCTCCCTGATTGGATCCGATTAACAGCCCCAATCAGGGAAGTCACATTCCATGAGGTTCACCTGTCTGACCTTGTTACAATCACTACACAATGCCCAATAAATGTGAGAAAGTAAGCAGCAGTTGGGTGTGATCCCTTCAGTGTGCATCATGCATGTGATAATGAAGCTGGCAGGCCCATGTGGTAAGGCTGTAGTGGTAGAGTTAGACTAAGGGATAGTTTTATGAATATGAGGTTGCAGTGAAAAGATCATGGTACTTACTCTTGTGGAGAATAGAAGAACATTCATCTTTTTTCTGCATTGGGTCCCAGTTCCTTTATGCCACCTTGCAGCACTGACCTCCTGTGATCTTTGACCAGGCTGCCCAGATCTGATGCAAAGGCATCTTTTGCCCATTAATGGGGAAGATGACCTTTTAATCCAGGCAACCTGGAGCAGAGTGCCTAGTGAGACAGATCAGCAATTCAGTAGATCAGGGTCGATATTGTAATGGATGGAAACATCTTCAACAACAGTGGAGTGGCAACTGTATTATTGTCTGACAGACTGCCATGTGCCACTGAGAGACAGGACCAACAAATCGCCATGGGCCAGGCTGAATCCCTCATTAAACCAACACCCCCTGATGCCTCGCTGAGTCTGTGCTGAGGCTGCGAGTGAAGAAAAGAAGAAAAGAAACAGCAAGAGAAAAAAAAAGAAAGAAATGCACAGAGTGGACGAGCTCTGGTTGAAGTGTCTAACTCTGCCACCACGTGTGCAAGTCTGAGATTTTACGGTAGTGGAAATTGTTAGTTCTGTTAATAAACATCAAGACATCTGTTTCAAAAGAACCGAGTCTTCGTGGTTTATGTAACAAGGGTTAACATCTAAGAAAAATTGAGATGACGTCAGCCTGCCAGCCGCATATGATTTGCTCTTAACTTGCTCTAAAACCCACTGACACATGAAATAAACTGAGAAGCAGTTGATCTCTTCAAAAAAACTCACTGTGGGCCATGATGGAATTGACATCATCTAAGAAGCCCACCTATCTACTTTAACTGCAAAATGGAAAATCCCACCAATTAACTCTGTTTTTCTTAATAATTAATAATATTGTTTGGCCTGTTGTTTCCAGAATTTCACACGGGAACAATACCCTGACTCTCCTTCCACTCAACTCCCTGGAAGGAAACTCAATGGTCAGCTGATAGGTTCAGAGTGGAACGGACAAGGGAGTCAGGCCCGACCAGTCCCCCTCCACTGACACCCTCATCCGCTTAGCCGAACTCATCCTCACCCTCAACAACTTCTCTTTCAATTCCTCCCACTTCCTACAGACAAAGGGGGTGGCCATGGGTACCCGCATGGGCCCAAGCTATGCCTGCCTCTTTGTAGGTTACGTGGAACAATCACTCTTCCGTACCTACACTGGCCCTAAACCCCACCTCTTCCTCCGTTACATTGATGACTGTATCGGCACCGCCTCGTGCTCCCACAAGGAGCTCGAACGGTTCATCCACTTCACCAACACCTTCCACCCCAACCTTAAGTTCACCTGGACCATCTCTAATACCTCTCTCTCCTTCCTGGACCTCTCTGCCTCCATCTCTGGCAACCAACAAGAAACCGATATCCATTTCAAGCCTACCGACTCCCACAGCTACCTCGAATACACCTCCTCCCACCCACCTTCCTGCAAAAATGCCATCCCCTATTCCCAATTCCTTCGCCTCTGCCGCATCTGCTCCCAGGATGAGGCATTCCACTCCCGTACATCTCAGATGTCCTCGTTTTTCAAGGACCGCGACTTCCCCCCCTCAGTGGTCGAGACCGCCCTCGACCGTGTCTCCCGCATTTCCCGCAACTCATTCTTCACACGCCGTCCCCGCAATAACAACCAAAACAGAATCCCCCTCGTCCTCACGTACTACCCCACCAACCTCCGGATCCAACACATCATCCTCCGACACTTCCGCCATCTGCAATCCGACCCC